AAAACCTTATGATCCTCCTGCCTCAGCCTCCCGAGTGGTGGGATTACAGGCATGCACCTCCATACCTGGGCCAGCCCTCATTTTGAAGAGTTCTGGTACAAGTTACCAAATTGTCCTCTGGACAGGCATGAGCACCCCCACAGTGTTGGGCTTGTCTGGCCTGTGTTCCCCCGGGACTCTCACAGAAGTACTTGCTAAGCCCCAGCCTTTGTCCTGAGAGTACTGTAACCTAGGTGTGGGTCTCAGATCTGGGAGGGACCTCCCAGGTGGCTGGTCCCCTTGCTGCAGCCCCGTGATAACTGACCTCTCCTGCTTGCAGAGACCTGTGCCGACAGGACCACACCTGTACCTACTACTTTAGTGTGGATGCCAATGTGGCCCTGACTGAACCCGACAGCCTGCGGCTGCTGATCGAGCAGAACAAGTGGGTATTGGGAAGCAACCGCCAGAGCAGGGGATCCCTCAATCCTCTCCCTTCTCCCTCTCCTTGGCCTCACCTGTGGCCTAGGCTATGGGTCCCCAGCCTGATAAAGGATGGTATCTCCCCATGTCTGTCCCCAGCTGCTTGTGGGAGGGAGGAGCCAACACCCCTCCAGGCTGAGACCCTGCTCCAGCAGAGTGTGTAGAGACCCCTTGTGTGGGTCTTCAGGTCCCCTCCTGGCTCCAACCCCTGGTCAGATCTGCCTCCCGCTCCCATTAAAGCACCCCTTCCTCAGGAATGTCATCGCCCCACTCCTGACACGCCACGGAAGGCTGTGGTCGAACTTCTGGGGTGCACTGAGTGCAGATGGCTACTACGCCCGCTCTGAGGACTATGTGGACATTGTGCAAGGGCGCCGTGTGTGAGTACTGCCACCTCCAACTCCTCTCGTCCAGGCGTGCCAGGCGTGGTGGTTCACGCCTGTAATCCTAGCATCCGATAGGCTCAGGCAGGCCAATCACTGTGGGTTGGGTTTAGCCAGTGGGAACTACATCGTGAGTCCCTGTCTCAAAATCCAAAATAAAGCAGAAAAATTGCTATAGAACCTCCAGCAGTCAGACACACAGAAGGATTTCCTGACAGTTGTCCAGAGCTCGTGTGCCTGGCGTAGGGGCTTCCTGTCTCATGCGCTCCCAGCCTGTGGCCTCCTGCACTTCGGTCCTGGAGCCAGGCTTCCAGCCTGCGACTCCTCCCTGCTCATCCCTGACCGCCCCCTTCCTCCCTTCCCTCAGGGGCGTCTGGAATGTGCCCTACATCTCCAACGTCTACTTGATCAAGGGCAGCATCCTTCGGGCAGAGCTGCAGCGCCCAGACCTGTTCCACCACAGGAAGCTGGACCCGGACATGGCTTTCTGTGCCAACATCCGGCAGCAGGTCAGCGGGTGGGGAGAGGTGGGCCACTTTGTCACTTTAGGCTGGGGACCTTCTTTTTGTGTTTTCTTTTGGGGCAGGGGTCTCGCTCTGTAGTTCAGGTTGGCCTTGAACTCATTATGTAGACCTTGAGATGACCCTCCTGCCTCACTGTGCTGGGATCACAGGCATGTGCCACCATGCCCGGCTCACAGTCCTTTTCTTTTATGTATTTCTTCTTTGTTGGTTGGTTTTTTTGCGGAACCAGGGATTGAACTCAGGCCCTTGCACTTGCCAGGGAAGCAAGCCATCTCCCCGGCCCCTATGTATTTGTTCTTTCATTCCTTACGACCCTCTAGGAAGTCTTCTTGGTTAATCCCCAACGTGGGGCCTGGGCCAGGTGCTGGGGGCACAGGCAGCCCGTTCTCATTGGTTGCTAATCTGGAGAGCATAGCCAGGCAGGTGCAGCAGCCCAGGGTTTGCAGGGGGACATGGTGGGGAGCCCCTCTCTCATCAGACCTGCTCTCCCCAGGAGGTGTTCATGTTCCTGACCAACCGGCACAGCTTTGGCCATCTACTGTCCTTAGACAGCTACCAGACCACCCACCTCCACAACGACCTCTGGGAGGTCTTCAGCAACCCTGAGGTGAGGCTCAGAGGCTGGCAAGGGCTGGGAAAGAAAGGATCCAGGGCCTAGAGGTGTCTCCCTGTCCTGCGGGGCACCTGCTCCCCCTTTCTACTCCTCTGTGACTCCATAGCTGATTTGGAACAGTGCCATCTAATGGCGGGGAGGCAGCCAGGTGTCAGAGGCCCTGGCTTGTGGCCCACATCTGCTCAGAGGAGCAGATTAGTTGAGCCTCCCAACTTTGGGGGCCTCTGTTATCTTTGCTGTAATGGTTGTGCCCTCCCAGCCTGCCTTGCCCTAAGGGCATTATGATGACCAGCGGAGACAGTTGTAATGGTGACTCTAAGTATCGAGAGCTTGTGGCTGACATGGGCGTTTGTACACATTGTGTCCGTACACAGTCCTGTAGACACAGATACACGCGTGCACACACAAGTGTGTGGGAGCCACCCTTGGGCACACCTGGCTGGTGTGTGCGCACAGCTACCTGCCCCAGCTGTGCACATCCGCCGTCGTCCGGAGGGGATGTGGGAAGGAGACCCTTCAGGGAGACTCTGGTGGGTGCGCTCGTATCCAGCCCTACCACTGCCCCTCCCTGCAGGACTGGAAGGAAAAATACATCCATGAGAACTACACCAAGGCCCTGGCAGGGAAGCTGGTGGAGACGGTAAAGATGGCGGTGGCCCAGGAGCAAAACTGGGACTCACATTCCCTCCTTGGTGCATGGGGACGTGGGACACTGACAGTGGGGGCCCCGGGAGCACCCCCTTTCTGTCTGCCCTGGCAGTGCTGCAGCCAGAGGAATGGGTGGCAAGATGACCCTCTCCCTCAGTTGGCACTTTCCGCCTGGGGCCTGCAGAAGGAAAAATGTCCCCAGATGTGATCCCGGCTGTGACTTGTGGTCCCCTGGGCCAGGAGTAAGAAGTGGTGCCCACTGGGGGCCCTGAGGCAGGTTCTGCACCCTGGGAGGTATTGCCGCCAGCTGGAC